GTAAAAAAATAATGCTGTAGTATATTATTTGAGGTTGGTTCAACTACTGACCCATACACCATATGTGTCCTGATACCCCGCTGTTGTGTAGAATTTCTCATCTTGTCGGTTCTCTGAACCATTTATCTACATATGTGTCCTATATCACCAGTAGTTTTCCAAATACTAACAGCCGAAATACATAAAACATAATGAATTACGCTTGGTAGCATGTGAGGGGAAATCTGATGTCATTGCAATAACTGAAACATGGTATAAATTAAAGAGTCGGGATATGATTGCTGAGTGAAATATTCAAGGGCTTAAGTTTTTTCATGCAGGTAGATATTATGGGATAGGGGGAGGAGTTGCATTATATGTACCAGAAAATATAAATTGTTGCAATTAAAACAGTTATAAAAATAAATTGGTTATTAACAGAATCTGTGTGGATAGAATTTCTAGAAAGCAAAAAAATAAAACAAATTTTAAGTGTAATATACCGAACTCTTGGCATAGAAAACGATGGAAGGAGACTTCTTTGGCTCCTAGACGCGATAATGTGGTAATAGTTGGGGATTTTAATTTTAGTCAAATTGACTAGACTTATTTGACTGGTAATCGGGAGTCCAGTGACTTTCTGGAAGTAGTTCAGGACTGTTTCCTGAAACAATTTGTAACAGAGTCTACCAGGGGAAATAATTTGCTTGACCTAGTCTTGTCAAATAAAGAAACCCTTGTAAATAGTCTGGAGATCACTGAAGAGCTTGACGCAGGTGATCACAAATCTATTATGTTTAATATTACCTGGGAGTACGAGAATAAGGATAATACCGTGAAAGTCCTCAATTATCGTTCTGCCGATTGTAGTGGACTTAGGGAACACGTGTCTAGTCTCGATTGGGGTAATCTTGGAAATGATTATATTGTCGATGATCATTCGATAACGAAGGGATCTGCGTTTATGATTTTTTTTCTTAATATTGTGCAACGTGCAGAGAGTATATAAATTCTCAAGAGATAAATTAGGTCAAATAAGAATGACCCTAAATGGATTAATAATAGACTGAAGCATTTATTAGAAGATTAAGAAGGAATTTATAGGTGCATTCAAAGGAGGAGAGGTTAACCTTATTGACCAATACGTTCATTTTAAGAGAGAAGTAGAAAAAGTGGATTAGAAAGGATAATCGTGACTATGAAATTAAAGTTACTAATGAATCAAAGACTAATCCAAAAGGGTTTTTTCTAGTGTATAGGACAAAAGTCAGGGAACAAGTAGGATATCTGAGAATTGGGGATGAACATCTCACTGATAAAGAACAGTAAATATGCTGTCTATTTATTGGTTGTTTCATGTCAGTCTTTACACAGGAATACATAAATGATATCGCAGAAATTGACAATTATTCAGTTAAAAAAGATAACAAATTAAGTTACATTACTGTCACGAGGGAAATGGTTATCAAACAGGTAGATAAGCTGAATCATAAAAAGTCCCCGGCCCTGATGAATTATTTTTAAGGGTGTTTAAGGAATGCAAGTTGGAACTTAGCCATCCATTAACGAGCGTGTTAATGCGTCCATCCAATTTGGTGTTGTGCCAGAGATGTGGACGATGGCTAATGTAGTTCCTATATTTAAACCAGAGGAAAAGTCCATCCATCAAATTATCGTCCAATAAGCCTGGCGTCAATAGTAGACAAATTATTAAAATCAATTATAGCTGATATTATTAGAAGCCACCTTGAAGAGCATAATTTGATTAATGAATCTCAGCATGGGTTCACGAGAGGTCGTTCCTGCCTTATAAATTCACTGATGTTCTTCAATAAAACATTTGAGATAGTAGACAGTGATAAAGAATGTGATGTTGTTTATCTGGATTTCAGTAAAGCCTTTGATAGAGTACTTTGCAAGAGCAACAGTCTGTAGGGAAATGCATGCAATATGTTCTCATCATAGATTTTAATGTCTGTTGAAATCTTTCGAAGGCGCCTTGGGACTGAGGATGATAGACAGTAGATAATTTGTGAATTATTCCTAGCCTAGTTAATGCTTTCCTAAGCACTTTGGCATTCCTAAATCTATCCAGAGTGACCAGGGTGCTAATTTTACTTGTTTACTATTATGGACTAAGCTACTAGGCACCCAGAAGCAGTCCCAATGTGCAGTATCAGTACCAAAGCCATAACTAAATTTATTTTCTACTTTGGCATTCCTAAATCTATTCAGAGTGACCAGGGTGCTAAATTTACTTGTTTACTATTATGGGCTAAGCTACTAGGCACCCAGAAGCAGTCCCAATGTGCAGTATCAGTACCAAAGCCATAACTAAATTTATTTTCTACTTTGGCATTCTTAAATCTATCCAGAGTGACCAGGGTACTAATTTTACCACCACAGTGGAAAAAAATTTAGTTATGGCTTTGGTACTGATACTGCACATTAGGACTGTTTCTGGGTGCCTAGTAGCTTTCTCCATAATAGTAAACAAGTACTGCTTTCCAGACTTCGACTTAGGTAATGGACCTACACAGTCAATGATTAACTCTGCAAACGTTTCTCCGTCTGCAGGTATGGGATGGAGTGGTGCAGGTTTAATGGGGTGTCTACGCTTTTCTGCTTTCCGACATTCCTACAACAGCGGATGTGATTTTTCGCATCTTCCCTTATTTTTGGCTAGTAAAGTGTCTCCTAACGAAGAATTTTGAGCTATATTTAATATTTGTGATCTAAACTTTTTAGGAATTACCAGTCTGTCTATTGCCGTCCCTCTACCTCGTTACCAGTCCCTCAGGCATGGAAACAGAGATATCTGTCAATAATGCAACCCTGGAATAGGAAGACGATCTAGGTCTTTTCACTAAATTTACGAGGCTCTGGCCAATTTTCTCGTGAAACAAATTGTCTAGTTCTTATTCAGAGTCGTCCAAGGATGGGTCAGCATTCTCAACAGATATCCCACGGGATTTTACCAGAGTTATGGCCAATATCGGAGAAGGATTAGACATTATAGTTTCTGGACACTGTGGAATTAAGAATTTTATTGGAAATAAATGGTATAAAATATCGACACAATGGAAATATAAACACTTAAGCAATATAATGTGATCTTTTATTGACAACGTTTCGCCCACACTGGGTTTTATCAAGTCACAAATAGATATGTTTGTGGCCTGATGAAGCTCACTGCATGGGCGAAACGTTGTCATTAAAGGATCACATTATTCTGCTTAAGTGTTTATATTTCCAAGTCTGTTATTACCTAGTAATAACATTGCATCTTTCATAGAAAATCCTTCAGAAACACCTGAAGTCAAATATCCAGTGTAATATTTACTATTCACATATGTTCTATGTGAAGGGACATAAATACTGCTCCTCCAAATGCTTCTAAAAGAACTGATGAGTGCAATGACGTTTTTATCAGAGAAGGGAAGTACTTCCTGTCTTATTAGGTAACAATAAGCCCCGGTATCCCTAAATGTTCTTCAGTTATCTTTGAATTCTCCATAAGGGAGATATAGCAAGTACTGTAGTATGGAGCCAAACCACACTCTACTTCTTCCTGATTCATCTCAAATTGGGAGGATTCTTATTTTGCCTAACTGTTGGGGTTTAGCGGGGCAGTTGAATTTAACATGGCTGGGTTTATGGCAACTGAAACATGTTACCTCTGTTTTCTTTAGGCTCCCTGCTGATTTTGTGGCTTGTGCCAGTCTGTGTACTGATGTCGTTGTTTACCTTGTTGAGCATGAGTTTCATGTCGCTCACCAGGTTGACCGTGAGTTTGATATTGTAGCTCACCAGGTGACTTGGTTGGCGTCGTCGCTCACCTTCGTCCTACCACTTCGTTTTCCAGTCAGGAACTCTGATGGTCTGTACTCATGCCTGGCTGTTGGGAAGAAAGATAAGACCACTTGGACAAGGAGCGGTTAGTCTCAAAAGTGTCAGCCAGCCTGGTTGCCTCCAATGCAGTGGTCAACGAATGATCTTCAAGAAAGACTCTAACAGAATTTATATTTTGTTACCAATCTATCAATTTTAAACCTGTTTTTAGGCAATTTATATTTTCTCGTGCGTGTAATGCAGCTCCACCCCTTTCCCATTATATCTGTCTACATGGAACGACTTAAACCCTTTAGAATGACACTCAACAATCACATACCGACTCTTAATATTATACCATGTTTCTAGTGCTTCGACTGTTAGTATAAAATACATTATTAGCTTGTTCTTCTTCACCTTTTTCCCATTCAGCTTTACTTTTATAGAGTTTGTGTTATTATCATTACCTTGTGTTACTCAATGGCTGTTATTATCAAGATTCATAATTTCAAAGCCAAAGTCAATATTTACACACTCATTATTTTCTGTTCCCAAACCCCTACATTTAACTAATCCTTGTTTAAAGTCCTAACAACCCCCTCAACTGAACTAGCGAGAAAACCCACACCTGCCCTGGATAAGTGAACCCCATCCTTGGCATACATGTTATTTCTAACTTAGAAGTGGTCCTAGTTTTCAGTGAATGGCACTGCATTGTTCTTACATTGTTTGCACAGCCAACATCAATACCAATTTCTCTGAACAATTATTCATTTCCATCACTCCTACTTGGCAAAATGCCACATAAAACAGGGCGCTCCATCTTCCTAATTATGTCTACTGCTGTTCTATACCTTTTAACTAAATCCTCACTTCTTCATTTTCCTACATCATTGCCTCCAGCACTGAGGCAGATAATAGGACTGATCCCTATTACTATTCATTATGTTATCAAACCGGCTAACAATATCATCCATCCAGCCCCAGGAAAGCAAACCCTCTGTCTCCTATTTCAATTCTTCGTGACGTTCCCAGTAATCGAGTGTCATACGTCCGGTTGCACAGAGAATGGGTTCGATGATTCTACAGTAGCCTCCTGGTTCTTCGTTGTTTCTACCTCATCCTATTTGGTGTACTAGCCTCCTCAAGCAGAATATATATTTTTGTAACCATGAACAAGTGATATTTCA